GCTGCGCGCGGCCTTCACGCCGACCTTCGGCCTCGACGGCAGCGGCGACGTCTACCGCCTGGCCAACCTCCACGCGCTCGCCTCGCTCTCGCGGGAGACGCTGCTCTGCGTCGCTGACGGGGGGTTCCACCTCGATTTCGCCATCGCGAACTACCAGGAGGCCCTCTCCGCGCGCATCCTCTTCGCCCAGTGGCTCGCCGCGCTGAAGGTCCTCCAGCCGGGTGGGTGTCTGGTGCTGAAGCTCTTCGACACCGTCCTGGGGTTTACCCGGTCGGTGTTGTTTCTTTCCACCTTTTTGTATGAACGGGTGCATGTCGTGAAGCCGAAGCACAGCCGCGTCGTGAACAGCGAACGGTACTTGGTCTGCGTGGATTACAAGGGGATGGCGGATAGACCCGGCTGGATGGCGTACTTCGACGATGTCCTCGAGCGTGGATTTGCCGATAACGATTATATCCCCGAGTTGATCCCGGAAGCGTGGATGACATCGGATCAAACCTTTATGCAGAGTCTCAACGACATGGTTCACGTCATCGCTAATAATCAGCGAATCGGACTGCAAATGATTCTAGACGAGGCCAATAAGGAAAAGGCCAGGGTTGACGAAGACAAGTCAACATCCAATGATGAAACGGTAAAGAATGATTAAAAGTGGAAAGCAGCGATGTTGTTTTAAAGGCGTCTAAATACACGAGTCTTTGGTTGCATTTTGAGTCGCATTAACCATTTATGAAAAAAAAAAAAGCAAGAAAGCATTCCCCCTTTGTTTTCTCCGCTACAACTTGTTCTCTTCGAACTATTACACTGTATCTAATGGATTTGATAACCGTTAATCTTCTTTTTGGTTCCTCTTGACTACTACGACTACTACTACCATTCGATTAATGGTGTGACGTGGGCCCACTCCCGCTAAATTTATTGTAGATTCTTTTTGCGATAGACAAACCCTATACTATTCCCTACCAACCACGAGAACCAACGAAATCATGTCGAAGCTTACTCTGAAGCCGCACGCGATTCTGCCTCGCCGCCCGGTCCTCATCGTGATCATGGATGGCCTCGGCATCGGCCCTGGCGACGAGTACGACGCCGTGCACCTTGCCAAAACCCCCTTTATGGATTCGTTGAGGCAAAAATGGAAGCACTTCCGCTCAATTCGCGCGCACGGCACGGCGGTCGGCCTCCCGACGGACGCCGATATGGGAAACAGCGAGGTCGGGCATAACGCCCTCGGCTCCGGGCGGGTGGTGCTGCAGGGGGCCTCCCTCGTCGACAACGCCCTGCGCACCGGGGAGATCTACGAAAGCGAGGGCTACCGCTACCTCCACGGCGCCTTCAGCAAGGAAAACAGCACCCTCCACCTGATCGGCCTCCTCAGCGACGGCGGCGTGCACTCCCGCGACGATCAGCTCCATTTGTTCGTCCAGAAGGCCGCCAAGGATGGCGCGAGGCGGATCCGCGTGCACGTCCTCTACGACGGCCGCGACGTCCCCGACGGGAGCTCCCTTAAATTCACGGAGGAACTGGAGAAGCTCCTGGCGGGGCTGCGCGAGAAGGGCTGCGATGCGCAGATCGCCAGTGGCGGGGGCCGGATGT